GAGAGGGGAGGGGAGGGTATTCAAGAAATGAATAAAATTCATTGTTTTGAAAATTTAAAGGTTTTCTTTTTTAATTACACCAAAAAAATTTTATTTATTTATTTATGTATGTAAGGATGGGCTTTTTAGCGTTTTCAATTAAAACAACTTCATGAAACATTTTTATTAATTAACTCGTTTTTATTTCTCTCTCTCACACACACACACACACACTCTCTCTCTCTCTCTCTCAAGGTTTTATCATAGATTATCGTTGCGTTTTCCTAAGGTTATTATCGCATTTCCCTATTTGAAAAAAAATAAAATCCGCTAGTATTTAAATTAAAAAGAGTTCGAAAAGTACAAACGACAAACAAACACAATAAATAATACTAATAATAATAATAATATTAACGTTCAAGGTTTTACTTATAATTACATGTGGAATAATAATTATCGATCGGAAAATATTAAATAAGTAAGCAAATTTAACGGAAAGAATTTAAAAAAAAAAAAATTTATTACGTCATATATTTATAAAAAAAAAAACAATATGGAGGACGATTTTCAAATAATCATTTTCTCGCTTTAACAACTAAAATGCTCGCAGTTGAAAAAATAAATATCCATAATATTGATATTAAATAACCTTCGTAAACGTAACTTCTTGTTAGTGTCCATCCTTTTTCCATAATGTTTCTCATCGATAGTGTCGCATATGTCGTCGGCATACCTATGGATATTGTTTTCAATATGTTGGGCATACCTTCTATGGGCCATAAAAGACCGGAAAAAATAAGTACGGGATAAAAACTACCCATCGAAACAAAATTTGATGTCGTTACGGAATTACACGAAACCGATACGAGAAATCCTAAAAAAAATGAAAGGTTTTGTTTGTTGTTAATCATTTTTTTAATAAAAAAAAAAAAAAAAAAAAATTTCTTCTGCTACTACCTCCGCACATTCCGCAAAAACCTTGAAGTATTAAAAGAATAACAATGTCTAAATAACTTCCGACGCAGGGCATACCGAAAATAAAAAAAACAAATATTATAACTTCGAGTACTTGAAGGCAAATCACACCAGCTTCTAGAACAATGTGTGATAATAATATTTCAACGGATGTGACACCAGCCAAAAGTGTTCTATCCCAAATTCCATCTAATCTTTCCACGACTATTATTGTTGCTGTCACGCTGACGGCAAGGAAAAAAATCATCCTGAAACCAACAATAATAATAATAATAATTTAAAAAAAAATCATAATATTACCTTACACCGACAACAAACAAAATGGGAACATATTCAAAAATACTTTTCAATTAACTTAATTAATTATTATTATTATTATTATTTGTTTTTATTAGTTAATAAATTATATTTTTAATATAAAAGTCATCCATATATATATAAGAGAAAACTTTGAATTTTTTTTTTATTACTCGATATGAGTAATTAATAATTTTTTTTTTTTTTTATATTCAAACTTGTCAAAGTTTTGATTAATATATATATATATATTTTATTATTTAATAAATTAATAAAGTTTAGGAAGGGGAGGGGTTAAAAAAAGTCTGTTTCGAGGGTAGTTTTTTTATTATTCGATCGTAATAAATGAATTTTTTCTTACGTCGTCACAACTCCAGGAGTCA